AGCCTGATGTTTGTCCTCCTGTCCCAGAATGACCCAACCCTCCAGCTAGGACAGGATTTTCAAAAACCAACCCCTTCCTCGCTTCCACTCACCACCAATCATCCTCACCTCCTCCCACTCTTCCTGCAAACCATCCAGTTAAGAGGAGATCAGTTAGGAGGTTTCCCTTTCCTTCTTTCACAAGGAAAGGAAACCACCACTGACATCCCTTCGAGCCTCCCCCAGCAGCAATCCTGGTGTGGACTCACCATGGTGCTCATGAGGATGTCGGCGCAGTCAGGGAGTTCGATGTCTGGGGCAGTGACTAAAGTGATTTCTCCTCCTGAGTCCCCGTCGAGGCTCATGGCTGTCCTGAAGGGAACTTCATCCAGGTAGCTCATGGTTGCTGCCTGATTTCTTGCTGCTGGAGCAAGGGATGAAACAGAGCTGTAAAGGGCACCTCTTAAGTTGAGTGGAAAGAGAGAAAGATGAGCTGTTTCAAGTGCCAGCTGAGTAAAAACCTCCGTGTGCAACACCCAGATTGGCAAAATCTTAATTACTGACACAAGGAAGATTTGTCTGAACTAACCTCTGCTATTCTCAGCTTGAGCCAGCAGGACCCAACCAAGCTTAGAGCTTCCCTTGGCAGAGATCCTGAGCATTTTTCTCCTCTGCCTTCACCTCCATGCATGCCCTGCTGCTTCCCATCCCTCCTGCCTCTCCCTCTGCTGCACATCACATACTTTCTTTTCCAAGCTGGGGGCAGACTGAGGACTTTTTCCAGTTGCATAGGGAGGAACTACAGCCAAGAACACTTTGCAGGTCTCCTTTCTCTGACACCTGTGTTTACAGAGCTCATGCACACAGTCATGTGCTGCTAAGCCACCACATGGAGCATCCTAAAGGAGCTGGGGTGAGAGCATCCCCTCTGGCTCCACAGCAGCTTACAGGGAGCCAGGCAAGTGAGCACTGGAGTCAGGGGGATATTGAGTAAGTCATTTTAAGGCCAGATTAGCTTTTAGGAACCATCTATTCATTTTAAGTGTGGTGATGGAGTCAGATCACTAACCACAGGGGAGAGAAAAACTGCTGATGAGTTGGGAATGGTGGCAGGGAAAATATTACTGCAATAGTGTTGCCATCAGCTCTCCATGAATGCCTCAATTCAGCAAAAAGCCACTCCTTGCTGCACAAAGCCTCGAGCCTGCAGCTTCCTAGTGATGCCAGTGTGCAAAGTAATTTCTTTTGTAGATTATCAACTGTTGAGAACTGGTGGCCAGTCTTCCACAGAGTCCTGGTATCCACAGCCTGTGCCTGCTCATCCCAAAGCCCTCAGCAGTCACCCTAAGGACACAGTAAATACCTGTGTGACATCCCATCCTGAGGACACATAGTAAATACCTGTGTGACATCCCCAAGTGCTTTTCCCAATTCTTTTTTCCTTAAAAACAGCTTCTATGACAATGAGGATAACAATCCACAAAAAGAAAATATATACAAGGATGAAAAAACTGCCTGTTTAATGCAAAAATGAAAGTCTCTAATGGGAAATGGGGTTCAAGGTAGTTTCTCATGTTGGCAAAGGACTAATAAACCACTTTCAGACCAGAAACAGAGAGTGACACGCCCTAGTGACACACACAATCACTCGGTGCAACTCAGCTGGTCTCATCAGAATGACAACAGGATTGTCACTTGCTTACAACAGGAGCCTTTAATACCTCTGCACACGCAGAGCCCCTAACGAGCTTTGTGCTCCTGCACATGTCCTGCCACTAACATGTGACACAGGCAACGTGTTGGGAGCCTGCACAGAGCCAGGTCATCTGCTCCCAGCCTAAGAGGGCTCAGCCTAAGGGACAACCCATGTCAACACTGACAGAGGCAACAAGTGAAAACATCTCTAAGACACCTTCCCCCAGATTTTGGCTACTCCTTGTGCAGCCTCTGTGTGCAAGGGGGATGGACCCTCCCTGCAGCTTACACTGTAAACTGGCTCTTCCCAAAATCCGTGTGTACAAGGTGTGAAGGAAAGGAGTGTCTTGGTGTCTGTCACCTGGCTTCACTCAGGTTCAAATGCCACTTCAAGGGATAGAGATGGGTAGTGAGTGAATCTGAAGCCACAATGAAGAAAATACAGAGAGATCACAGAATCATTAAGGTTGGAAAAGACCTCTAAGACCACTGAGTCCAATCCATGACCTAACACCACCATGTCAGCTAGACCATGGCACTAAGTGCCATGTCCAGTCTCTCCTTAAACACCTCCAGGGATGGTGACTCCACCACCTCCTTGGGCAGACCCTTCCAATGGCTAATCACCCTTTCTGTAAAGAAATTCTTTCTAATGTCCAACCTAAACTTCCCCTGGTGCAGCTTAGGACTATGTCCTCTCCTCCTGTTGCTTGTTACCTGGGAGAAGAGACTCACTCCCTGCCTGGCTAACCACCTTACAAGTAGTTGTAGACAGTGATAAGGTCATCCCTGAGCTTCCCCTTCCCTAGGCTAAACTCCCCCAGCATCCTCAGCCACTCCTCGCAGGACTTGTGCTCCAGACCCTTCACCAGCTCCATTGCCCTTCTCTGGAAATGCTCCAGCACTTCAATGTCCTTCTTGAAGTCAGGGGCCCAGAACTGGACACAGTAATGATGATTGGTATGTACCTCACTGCATTTCATTGCATAAATATTGTGCTCTGAGAGCCTCCCGCAAGTGCCAATTCCCAAAACCACAGTTTAGCAAACAAGAAGTCCTTTGGGACGGGAGCAATGACAACACAACTAGACAAGAATAAAAGAGGGTCAGTCACAGACACAAACTCACAGCAGAAGGCAACACCTGCAAGGGCTCTGACCTTGTGCTCCACACCAGCCCTGCTCTCACACTGCATACCATCCAGCATATGAACCAGCTCTCATCAGGAAGAGGATATGTCTTAACAGCATGAGAACCTGAACTGCACTGGGACCAGGGGAGGAACAGGATACAAAGGAGCCTTGGAAAGTCATAGCCAACCCCTCTCTTCTTCTGGGCTATACTAAGTTTTTAAAACTTAATAGTAGCAACTACTATACTAAAGAGAAATTAGAATCTTAAATCTGAACACACACTTTTAGAAGAATTAATATCTTGTCTCCATGTATTTTATGAGCTGAGATTTTAAACATTCCTCCCCATCTTTGGCTTCACATCTTCCTCACTAGACATATAAAACATTTTAATACAGATGCACAGAAAAAAACACAGGAAGTTTCAGGGATGGAAATACACCTAAACATACACCCTCCACTGGAATTTTCAAGCCCTATATTAACAATATGAAGTTATCCTTACCGTCAGATGAACTCATGGAGTTCTCCTCACAGGGCAGGGAGAACAGGCTGCTGCTCCTCTGCCTGCTCACCTACTGCTCAGCTCTTTAAATTGCTGCAGTATCACACAAGCAGCTGACTTGGACAGTCTGAAGATAATCATAGCTTAAGCAGTTAGCCTGGCCCATCGGACGCATTGAGGGGATAAGGAGACTAACTGTTTAAGCAGAGCATCCTCCGGTCACTAAGCTTTCTGAACTGAAAGTGTTCTTCCTGCAATTGTTTGATGCCAATCAGATTTACTTTGCAGAGAATCATGGAATGGTTTGGGTTGGAAGGATCTTAAAGCCAATCTCGTCCCAACCCTGCCATGGGCAGGGATATCTTCCACTAGCCCAGGTTGCTCCAAGTCCCATCCAGCCTGGCCTGGAACACTCCCAGGGATGGGGCAGCCACAGCTTCTCTGCACAAAGACAAGTTTTTATATATATATATATGTAAAGAATTTTTATACTTGAACTTTTGATTTTTCATCAGGAATCTGACCCAGCCATAGATCTTAAGAGTAATGAGATGCTGGAAGTGACAGCAGGGACAGGAGGACGTATGGAGGAGCAAATCAGAACTCAACCTGCAGAAGACTTTGTGGTAATCTGTGCTTACAGGTGAGCAAGAACTGCAAACTTCTGCACCCACATTAATTCTATCAAAAACTACTATGTGATATTACTAACAGAAACCAATACAAATCTTCAGCCAATAAACTACTAACACTACACAGGGCTGGATTTGGGTGATGACACTGCCTCCTTCACGAGTGACGCACTGTTGTGACGCCAAGAAGTAAAGCATTAGACAGATTAATTCAATTCCCACACACTGGGGCTAAGCAAGCATAAGGATTGTAGCCCTGGAAAGGTACCACAGCAATCTGTGCAGCCCAGCAAAGCCCCAAATCCATACAGCCTGTCACTGTTACATCAACCTGTGCAGAACGGGGAGAGATTTGACATCAGGGGTCTCTGTCACCTTGCAGGAGGGAGATGTTCCTTCACACAAACCTTTTCCCAGCAATTCTCTCCATGCTGGAGTCGTATTTGATGCCAAGAAGTCAAACAAATCTCTCCCTCAGAGCGAAAATGCTTTAAAAAAAAACAAAAAACAAAAAACAAACACCATTTTTCTCTATTTATTCTGTACAAAAAAACCAACTTACAAAACAGAGCTGTGGTTTTTAATCAAATATTACAGACATGATGTGTCCTGATACAAAAATAGCTATATAGGCAAAACACTTACAGTAGGTTAAACTTCAGATTTCACTGGGTTTTTTTCCAGCAGGCTTATTCATCAAGTTTGTGTCTACTTACACGGCTGCCTGACCTATTTCACCACAACTGGGAATTTTTTCCATGTTGTGGTACCAGTTTTAGTCCACAAAAGTAAAATGTCAACATCTGCTTTAATCAACCTTGGAAAACCCTGCCTTGTTTGTACTTCAGAATTTGTTTAAACTTGCAACAGGCTCATTTCTACACCCAAAAATACAGGAACTATTTTGACAGTGATGCTTGACATGCTTCGTTTGAGAAGAAAAACATGTTTATTAGTGATATCTTTTTTGTTTTATATTTCTTTATTTCTGGAAATTTCACCATCTTTTATAAAGATAAAAGTTACTAAAAATAGAATGTTAATACTGGCACAGACACCACTGTCAGCAATGTTCCTTTATTAAGACTGAGATGTAACAACAGCTCGCAGCAGGACTGTAATTCCACACCAGGAGAAGTCTGGCAGCTCTGGGCTCACTCAGATTAACTCCCTGCACAGTCAGACACCAAGAAGAGTTCTTAAACTTTTCTTCAAGACATTCCAGAACAGACATTCCAGTACCTGGATGCCAAAAGAGAGCATGAGACCTCCTCTTCAGGCCCTCTCGTGCTTACACATGTAATGATAATGAAACAATCCTCCAATATTCCAGGAATTTATTACTAAATTATCTCACAGCAGTGGCCCAAGTGTCACTGGTGGGGAGACTTGGAAGAACCCATCCTGGAGGGATGCAGCTTCCTTCAGGGTGGTCAGCTGGCACCAAGTACTGATCCCATTCATGCCTTTAACAGAGAGAGAGTTGTTTGAGAGCAGAACTTGGATGAGTTTGGTGGTAAGATTTACTATATACCCACACAGGTGTTTTTCCATACTGATCAATACACAAACGACTATGAATTGTACTCTGAAACTTGTGTTTCAAAAGACAAATGTGAAAATTAAATGTACTATTGTTAAATGGAATGGTTATGGATGAGTGCACTGTGCTTCACATGGGCATCTGCTGGATATGACTCAAGCAAGAAGCTTGAAAAAAAACAGGACAATTAATAACCATATCTGGAAATTAGCAAACTAAAGGGATGCTGATTTTACAATCTCGACAAACCATACTTCTTGTTCTTGATAAAAAAGACTTTGTTTGGTTTTACCTGATCTGGATTAGAGCTGCCACAGAATGCTCAGCCTGTAAGTAGTAGTCTCTGAAGGGCTGCAATAGATGGGTAAGTGGGAATTCAGCTGTGGAAACAGACATAGAAATCCTTCAGAAATCCAGAAAAACCTTCGATTCTACTAAGTCTTAAAAGCCCCAAATTTGCCAACTCATTTGCTACAGCCCAGCTGTAAACTGAAATCTTGTCCCTAAGTCATACATGAAGGACTATTTACATGTTACATGCCTCCTGGTCTGTACTGGAGCTGTCAGAGGAAAGACAAGACTAGCAAAACTTTTCCTGCCTCCACCTCTGAACAAGGGGACTATACAGACAATGAACCTTTACAGATTACCCGAGTCACTAAATCACCAGACTAAAGCACCTGTTGGGTGCTGGAAGCCTTCAGTCTGTTCTGCTGATTCTCACTTCAGCCTAATCTACAACCTCCTCTTGCAAAACGTGATGAAATCAGCCTGAGATGTGCTGCAGCCAATGCTGAAGAGCTCAACAGTTCCTCTTACACCACAGGAGGTAACAGCACACTGTGTTTATTCCCCTCTTTTTCTCAGACCATCAGTTACTCCAGTGGATGATTTCTCAGCTAGTTCTGTGCCTGGGTGTCAAGCCCAGGGGCTGTGGGATGGGGTGTGGTGTGGGCAAGCGCTGTTAAGAACAGCACACAGAATTTACCTGGATCTCCGAACAGCTTGGAATCCATTTCCAGCTTCTGCTGCAGTAGCTTTTCCCTTTCCTTCTTTTGTTTCTTTTCCATTTCCCTCTTCCTTTCCTCCTCCTGTTCTCCCTCCAGCATGACCCTTAATGCTCTCTCCTCAGCTTCATACAGCTCTGTGCGAGTTTTGAGCAATGTTTTGAGACTCTCCACCTGATTTTCAAACGCTTCATCTGCTGAGGGTGGTGGACAAACACCTGGACAGAAAGAGAAGTGACTTTAAGCTTTCAGATTCAGGAGGGGGTTTGTTATCAGACTTGAGAACACAGCTGGCAAAATCTCAGAGGAATGTGAGCTTAACTTTGTTAATAGCTGGGAATTCTGACTGGAATAATTGTTCTATCAAGAAGGAATTCAGCGATTAGGAACACAACCACTGAATTCAGCATTTCATAGCTATTCTTGTAACTAACACCACTAATAAAGACACAGCTTTTCCAAGCTGCACTTTGCTAGTGAGCCCAGGGCACCCTCCTCAGCTTATCTCCTGTGTGTGAAATCAAAGAAGCAATAATTAACCTTTTCTGGCAGCAGCCTCTTTCCGAAGCTTCCGAAGCTTTTCCAGCGCACGCAGGACCTCCACCATCCTCTTTGTGTCTGCTTGTTTCTTCCGTACCTCAGACAGGACACTGTCAGCAGCAGCCTTCAGCTCTCGTTCCTGTGAGTCAAAAACCAGACACGATATATGAAATATCCCTCACAGACAAGAATCAAGTGGTACTTTCAGAGCTTAACAAAGCACTTTAAAGCCCTAATAACTTTAGTCCATAGCAAGTCAACTATCCAACTTTGCCTTTTTATGAAAAAATAGCTTAAACTACCACAGACTTCAGAAAACACAAGAGAATGCTGAGGGACTCATAAATTTGGGTGAAATCACAGAATCAGAGCATCATTAAGGTTGGAAAAGACCTTCAAGATCAAGCCCAATCATCATCCCAGCACCACCATGTTCTCTGAGCACCTCCAGGGTGGCTAGTGAATTCATAAATCTTGATAGCCTGTAACCACAGAAAATTTTAGGGAAAAAACATCAAAACTATCCTGATTCTACAGCTCTGCAATCAAAGACCATTAACCTGCCACAGTCTGAGCACAGAACCTTCCCCAGCAGATGTTCTGTGCCTTCCCAGCAGAGCAGGAGAATGGGAGCTCTTTTGCCAAAAACCAACACAGAGGTGCCTACAGCACTTCCAGAAAGCTTGAGGTGTTTTTTTTGCTTTGGAGATGTTTCACTTCTTGATGGGACCAAAAACTTTGCGAACACCAAGCTTTAAAAGGATGAAGGCAGCAGGCAAGGGCTGACGGTTACTGCAACAGTGCTGATCATTGCAGGGTAGCTGTGAGCAGTGTGGGGCAGGTTGACACCTGGGACCAGAGAGGAAAACCTCCAGGACTTCAGAAAGAACTTAAACCCCAACTACCATGGCCCAGGACACGAGTATGACAAGGCTGAGATGCCCACCAAGGCTTTTATGGAAGAAACAGTGCTGCTGGCATTGGAAAGAGCACGTCTTCATGCAATCCCAGGCCATGCAGCACCACACTGGCACCTCCTGACCCGCGGGGACCCAAGCCAGGAGCGGGGCAGGCACAGCCCGCTGTGAGCGCTGCTGGCAGAGCCAGGGGCGCACAGGATCCCCCGGGGCCGTACCCGGTTCTTCTCCTCCACCTCCTGGAT